ACTCAATACCAGGCAGTCTTTTGAGCACTGTCTGTTAACCCTCACCACAACCCTACAAGGAACACACTATTATTATTTTTACTTTATAGATGAGAAAAACTGACCCTTTTAGCTTCAAGTCATCTATAGAAAAAAAAAAAATCTGACGTTGTTTCTCACACTTACTAATTTGCATCAGTTGGTTCAATGCTTGCTCAGACTTTTTTCCTCTTTCCAGCTTCTCTCAGCATGATCTAGAAAGTGGAGACAGGGGAAATCTTTATTCCCTTCTCATGCAAAAATTAATTCCAGTAACACATGTAATCTGTCATGTTCTATAATTTTCCATAACGGGATGACAATTTTTAACTTTTGTGAGACCAGTTATGCAAATAAGCACAACCAAGAAGAATGCACAAAATAGGATGCAACAGGAAAACGGAACAACGATGCCCCTTACATTTTCTGTTACAGCAGCAATCTGCTGAAGAGCAGCCTCTTCGCTGTGCAGAGGGTCAGGATTTTGTCAGGAAGAATGGCACAGCTGCTCCTGATCTGGCTCCAAGAGCTGACTCTGCTGTGAGCGGCCAAGAGCTTCCTTTAATTGACTCTCTCCTGCTCCCATTCATTCACATACATCCCTCCGCAAGACAGAGAAGAACACTCCGTTTGCAAGTGTGCCTCTCCACTCGGAAGGATGGCCCTTAGAGTCCCGCCTGGATAACACTTTGTATGTGACAGTGAGCCGCAATATGGCAGGCTAGCACCTTTTCATTCAGAGCGCCACTGACATAGGTCTATATGCAAAAAAAAAATAATAACAACACCTGAAGCAGGTTGAGAAGTGGGCAGAGACAAGTATTCAGGAGGTGTGAAAGAGGCATTTCTCCATTTACCTAAACAACTTTAGGAGAACCCCATCCAAAAAATAAAAAGCTCTGGGCCTTCGACAATTCCACAAAGAAGGCCACAGCTACTGAGTGGGGGGTGCTGACAGGTCCCACCGTCTTAGCAATAACCAAGGGTAGAGGCCACAGCTTGGTCCCTGAGCGCAGGCTGAAGCCGAGAGTTTAAGAACCAGGTTTCAGATCAATTTCTAAATGGCCAGATTTAATGTACTGGCATTTAGAGCCAAGAAACGCATTCCTTTTACAGACCGCATTTGTGTTCCAGAAAGACGCTATGTGCATCAGCTTCAAATTACTGACGGGATTCTGCTTCTTAAGGATTCCACATACCATTTTTAAGCTGATCTCTGTCTTTAAATACAAGCTGTATGTTTATCTTCAAAAGTAAACAGTTAGTGGTGATGGTTGCACAACAATGTGAATGCACTTAATGCCATTGAACTATATATACACTCAGAAATTGTTAACATGGTCAATCTCATGTTACGTATATTTTACCACAATTTTTATAGTTTTTTCCTTGGAAGAAAAAGTAAATGGAGATATATTTGAAAGTTTCATTTTTAGTGAGAAGGTAAGGAGACATAACAATGCTGACAACAGTAATTTTACACAAATATATTTCAATATTAAACATCAAAACAGCAAAAAAGAAGAGTTAATAAAAAAAAGAAGAGTTAATAAAACAAATTCGAAATACTTTATTTTCAGGCACAATGTTCACACGGGAACCCACAATTTTTCACTAGCACAAAGTAGAGGCATTTTGCACTAAAGGCTGGGTTCAAAATATTGCATAAATCTAAAAGTCTTTGGGTAATTTTAACAAATCGAAAATAAAAATCTCTTAAAATTCTGATTATTTTGTCTAAAATGATAGGAAATACTGTGTTTCAATTAAATTCTGAATCATTTCACAAAAATCCCTTTAAAAGTTGTCAGATTTGCTTTGCATCCTCAATGGAAAAGAACATAGTCTAGAAATAAGCCCAAATTCATTCAGGAATTTAGTATACAATAAAGGTGGACTTTCAAATAAGCAAAGAAAAGATAGATTAACTAATAAATAATATTGTGACAACTGAGTACTTACCTCAAAAATAAAAATTAAAAACAAGAGATCCCTACCTTATTTACACACCAAAATAAATTCTAAATTAATCAAAGATTTAAGTGTAAATACACACACATACACACAAAAGTATCAGAAAAAAACATGAAAAAGAATTTTTTTAATACTTTCAGAGTTGGAGAAGCTTTAGTAGAATACAACATCCAAAAGCCATTAAAGAATACATTAATGAAATCAAAAGAAATGATAATTTATGAGGAAAATATTTACAGACAACCATCACAGACAATAAACTAATAATTCATTAATATATAAAGAATGCCTAAAGTCAATAAGAAAAAGACTAATCACCAAAAATAGATAAAAGGGTAAATAGCACATACAAAAGAAATACAAAGGGGGTCGGCCCGGTGGCTTAGCGGTTAAGTGCGCGCGCTCCGCTGCTGGCCGCCCAGGGTTTGGATCCGGGTGTGCACTGACCCACCGCTTCTCCCACCATGCTGAGGCCGCATCCCACATACAGCAACTAGAAGGATGTGCAACTATGACATACAACTATCTGCTGGGGCTTTGGGGGAATAAAGGAGGAGGATTGGCAATAGATGTTAGCTCAGAGCCAGTCTTCCTCAGCAAAAAGAGGAGGATTAGCACGGATGTTAGGTCAGGGCTGATCTCCCTCACAAAAAAAAAAAAAAAAAGAAATACAAAGGTCTTTCATACATGTAAAAACATGCTCAATTTTACTTATCGTAAGAAAAATGATAGGTAAAATTGCAATGAGATACCATTATCACTTTCATATTAGCAAGCACAAAAAATTTGATGACACAGTGCATTGGTGAGAAAATTGACAAACTAGCACTTTCATACATTGTTGGTGGAAATATAAATTTATACAACTTCTTGGGAGGAGCTATTTTAAAATATACATCAGGGGCCGGCCCCGTGGCTTGGTGGTTAGGTGAGCGCGCTCCACTGCTGGCGACCCGGGTTCGGATCCCGGGTGCGCACCGACGCACCACTTGTCCGGCCATGCTGAGGCCGCGTCCCACATACAGCAACTAGAAGGATGTGCAGCTATGACATACAACTATCTACTGGGGCTTTGGGGGGAAAAAATAAATAAATAAAATCTTTAAAAAAAAAAAATAAAATAAAATAAAATATACATCAAATACATTTAATGTATATACTCTGTGGCCTAGCAATTCTGTATTTCAAAATTGATCCTACAGCTATGCTCACACTTATAACAAATGCTGTTTGTACAAGAATTTTCTTTTTTTTTTTTTATGGGGAAGATCTGCCCTGAGCTAACATCCATGCCAATCCTCCTCTTTTTGCTGAGGAAGACCGGCCCTGAGCTAACATCTATTGCCAATCCTCCTCCTTTTTTTCCCTTTTTCTCCCCAAAGCCCCAGTAGATAGCTGTATGTCATAGTTGCACGTCCTTCTCTAGTTACTGTATGTGGGACGCGGCCTCAGCATGGCCGGACAAGCAGTGCGTCGGTGCGCGCCCGGGATCCGAACCCGAGCCATCAGTAGTGGAGCGCGAGCACTTAACCGCTAAGCCACGAGGCCGGCCCCACGTACAAGAATTTTCACAGGAACAATAAAATATCTAGCTAAAGAACTGCTTAGGTAAGTGGAATACTATGTAGCTATTGAAACTAATTAGGTAGATTTATATGTCATATGTCCAACACATGTAATGCAACATGCAAGATGAAGAACAGCATGTATATACCACCATTTGTGTGTATGTGTAACTTTTAAAGGGATACACAAACACACACACATTTACACACACACACACACACACACACAAAGCTTTAATGTCCTGGAGACTTCTCTGAAATGATTCACAAGAAACAGTGGTTGCTTCTGTGAACAGGAAATGAATAGCTCGAGAAATAAGAGGAAAGCTTCCTTTTAACATAAATTTTCAGGTCTTTTGAATTTTGTACCATCAACATAACCCAGAGCAAAAAAAAAAAAAATTTATTTTAAGGGAAAAGGCAATCAATATAAATGTCTTACCTACCAACACTGATTAATTAGCTCCAGACTGAAAAGATTAAATTGACATTTTTAGAAAAGAAACTGAAACACAATATCCCATCCCTGAAAATATAGGATAAAAGTAATGAAAACTCAGTTTCATTAGGAGGAGACATGAAAAAACATTTTTTTAAGAGCAAAGACAAATGAGTAGAATTAAACTCTTCTTTTGTTAGTTGTCTCAAGTACTCCAAGATTATAGAAAGTCTTTGGAGCAGGAGGACGAAACAATAATGATCCATATTTAGGAAATGAAAACTTGACAAAGTATTTTCAGATAGAAGCGCTGCACAAGTAGATTCCAAACACAACTCTCTGGTTCTCCTCCCGCCAACCCCTGAGCTGTCACCCCAACATAATGTGCACAAACTTCACTCTGATCCCAGACATGCACAGTTATCAGTAATCAGAACTCATCTGCATAGATAGGCAGTATGGCAAATAGCTAACAACCCTTCCAATTTGGCCATTAAGGATATTAGTTTCGCTTTATTGTTTACAGGAAAGTGTTTCCTGCGACGGCCGACCTCTTGCCCTAACCAAAGAGACATAAAGCTAGCGCCCAAACCTCTGTGTTGTCTCCCAGGAACGCAAGGGAGACCCAGGCAGATCCAACAGAGAGGGGCTGGGCAGAGCCAACTGCAGCCAGGCAGGCCGGCGTCCCTTTCATCTCTCTGTCTGCCGCAGAACAGTGGAGCAGGCATAAAAGAGATAGGAAAGAATGCTGTCCTTGAGAGAACAGCAGAAAATACTTGACGTGGTTCAGATCCAAAGATAAAAACTATCTGAGAAAAGAATTTTAATTCTCCAGAACCCTTATGAGAGATTAGCATACTATAATTACTGATAATTCACTGCTGTTAAGTCTATTTCCATTACTTTTTGTTGACACTTGAGGCACTGGTATACACAAGTGGAAATAAAACAACAAATTGGTTACAAGGCCTTCCTCCACCCTACCTTCCCAGTCTTATCTTCACTCCCCTCCTGCAGGAACTCTGCATTTTCCCACCTCCTCACCTTTGCTTATTCTGTTCCTCCCTCATAATCCATTTCCAGTCTACCTATTGAAATGCTTCCCATCCTTCAAGCCCCAGTTCAAATCCTAGTCCCTTCCCCAAACCTCCTCTGAGCATCCAAGTCTCATGAGATATCTCTGAATTCTAAGACATTTAATATTTTATATTAAATATATATATGCACACACATATACATATATACACACACATATGTAAGCATATATCATCTTAAAAGGCAATTAAACATAACAACTAACCATAACAGGCAATTGAACATAACAGTTAAGAGCACAGGCCCTGGGGTCCTGGATTGGAGTCCCCACACCATCTCTTACCGTGTGACCCTGAGGAATTGACTTAAGCTCCTTAAGCCGTGGTTATAATAGCCAAGTTTAAGAACTACTACTCATCAGCTCTTTCACCCTGTTCGTTGAGTATTTACTAAGAGTCAGTTATGTGCCAGGCCCTGGAGAACAAGATCTCACCTCCATGAGAACCTAATGTACGAACAAGAGCAATAAAATATAGATATAGTCTAACCCATCATAAAATAAGCTACAAATAACCAATAAACAATGCCAACGAGAAATGACTCCAGTGGATGGTTTTCCAGAACATTTTTGTGACGATGTTATCTAGCATATGGTAAAACTATGATTACTGTGAAGAATATTTTGTGAATGCAATTGTTTAAATTTCTAGTGACATAAGCATACATCCTAGATCCCTAATTTATTTTTTTAATTTTTATTTCTTTAATTGTGGAAAATAATTTATTTTTAACATACACATTTCCCCTTGACTAAGTACTGTGTAGTGCTTTTATATAAATTATATATATTATTTATATATTTATACATATAATTTTTTTGTATTTATAGATATAAATTCACCTTTCTGTGATGACTAGGGATTTTGCCAGGCCTCAATCACAGTTCTAGACAGTCTCATTATACGTTCTATGTCTACAATGCTACACCTAAAATAGGAAATATAAAAATAAGAAACTGAGCTGAATATATACCCACCTCAGGATATCATAAAAATTGTTTTAACGTGTTTATTTTTAATAAACTTATAATGTGACTTTTTCTTAAGAGTGGCTTGTTTTACTAAATTAATACTCAGCAAATATTTGAGTATTTGCTAAACAATGCTCTAAGAGCTAAAAAGCAGAATTGGAGTGGGGGCAAATCTGCAGATTCCAGACAATCCCTACTTATTAAAAGTTTTGCTCTAATTAAATCACCAGCAATACAAACAATAAAAAACTGATTATCTCTTCTATCTTTCCAAGAATGATATAAAAATTACTTCCTCTTAGGAGAGCAGGCTGCCTGCCCTTCTCTTGCTGTGCAGAACTATACCAGTTTGCAGCTATGCAAGAGCCTTTTCTACCTAGCAACTGATAAATAAAAAAAAAAACTTTTGCCATTGGCCAAATCTCTATTTGGAAACAGGCATAAATTCACTAGTCTTAATTTTAGCTGCTGGAATTGTATTTTAGCAAAGCAAGAAGGAAAACAATGTAACTTTTTAGAGCACATTAGCCTCTAACTTGTGTGAACTCCCCTAAAGAGGCAGTCACAGTGGACAAAAGAAGAGGAAAAAAACAAGGACTTAATTTAATGACATATTTAACTCTTTACTTAACAGAAATGCCTGCTATGGTCCTAGTTCATGTAGTTCATGGTGGGACAGGGGATGACAGACTTTCAAAAGCAACAACACTTAGGAGTGATATTTTGTTTAAAAACAGTGATGTGAGCTCATGGCTGAAAATCTTGTAGAGAAAGCCCCTCGGGTGTGCCTCCCACTGCCCCGTGCTGACAGCCTCAGAATGAGAGGGAACTAGCAACAACACTTTAAATCTTCCTTTCTATGAATTCTTTTGGGGTTTTCAAAGCAGTTTTACTCACCTCATATTCATCTTCCCAACAATCTATGTCAGGTTCGTATGATTCGCACATGAAACTTGGCCACAGGGGGATTTAGTGACTTATCCAAGGTCATAATGCGTTTTCCACAAGTCCAGGAATCAAGTCCAGGTTTCCAGCCTCTACTGGCTGATTCCCCTCACATGTTGGAAAACATTCTTTCTCTCTCCCCATTTCTTGCCCTGTTCTATTCTCAGACAGTATTGATGCCCACGCTGAAAATAGAATCCCCTACCACTGCCAAAATCTCTTCCCTTCATTGCCCAACAAAGGGAGAGTCACGAGAAGATGGCAGCGGCCCACTCAGGCTTATCTCCAGATGTCTCCCCAATTACAGCTGCCAGATTTAGCAAAACAATAATGCAAGACACCCAGTTAAATGTGAATTTCAGATAAACAATGAATAATTGTTTAGTATAAGGATGGCCCGTGCAATATTTGGGACATCCTTATACTGAACATTTATTTGTTTTTCATCTGAAATTCAGATTTAACTGGGCATCCTGTATTTTATCTAGCAACCCTCCCCCCACTCATCTCCACTTCCACCCTCGTGCCCACATACCGGAATGCATCAAGGGCAGGGAGCTCACCCAGGACACAGAGAACAACACACAGATGCTGGGGAAGGTTGTTCTCAAGTCAATTATGCAAAATGGTCCTCCAAGCCAAACCTCAGAGAATTAGGCTCGTAGATATTTTATAGTAAGCTTTAAAAAAAAGCAATGATATTTATGGAGTTTTTTTTCCTAATTACAAAAGTAATATGTGTGTGTTTTCCAAAGATGGCTGCAACAATATCCCCCATCTCACTTTTCTACAACGTGACCAAGAGATGGTGTCTATGTCTCTTCTGCCTTGAATTTGGACAGGCTTATGACTTTTGCCCCATAGAGGCAGCAGAAGTGATACCACGCAAATTCCAAGGGCAAATCAGAAAAGGCAATGCAGGGGCCAGCCCAGTGGCATAGTGGTTAAGTTCGCTCCACTTTGGCAGCCCAGGGTTCGCAGGTTTGGATCCCAGGCGCAGACCTATGCACCACTCATCAAGCCATGCTATGGCAGGCGTCCCACATATAAAGTAGAGGAGGATGGGCACGGATGTTAGTTAGCCTAGGGCCAATCTTCCTCAGCAAAAAGAGGAGGATTGGTAACAGATATTAGCTCAGGGCTAATCTTCCTCACCAAAAAAAATAAAAGAAAAAGAAAAAAAGGCAATGCAGCGTCTGCCTGGCTCACTGTACCGCTCACACTTGGAGCCCTGAGCCACCATGTGAGAAGCCCCAGTACACAGAGGCCGCCATGCTGGGAGGGAGCCACGCCACATGGAGAGGCCACAGTTTGGCACTCCAGCAGGCAGATCCAGTCTTCAAATCCTTCTGGCCCACGGGTCAGACATGGGAGGGAAGGAGGCTTCAGATGGTTCCAGCTCCCAGCCGTTGAGTCACCCCTGGACTTCGAGTCTTCCCAGCAGAAGACTTGAAGCAACAACACTTGAAGCAGACATGTCATCACGTCTGAGACATGATGAAGAGAGACAAGCTGTCCCTGCTCTGACCTTTCCAAATTCTTGACCCACAGAACTTGTCAACATAGTAAAATGACTAGTTGCTTTGTGCCACTGTGTTTACAACGGTCTGTTATGCAGCAATAGTAACTAAAACATAATACATGCTCATTACAGAAAAATCAAAAAAGAGAAAATAATCACCTGTAATTCTACATACAAAGGCAAGTGCTTTCACAATTTATAGGTATGTGCTTCCAATATTTTTCCATGCTTACATGCACACTTTTCCCCTCTTAAACAAACATGGTATCAGAGCATAGGTCTGATTTTGGCTTCAACGGTATTACTTGAAAAAAATCTTTCCATCTCACTGAACAGTTTCATCTTTGACAATAACAACTGTAATAGCTATTACCGAACATTGAGGTTGTTTCTAATTTTTTCTTATTATAAATACATATGCACTGAACATCTCTATACATACATCTTTCCACTCATCTATTTTTACCTTAAGATAAATTCCTAGAAGTGGAATTGTTAGGTCAAAGGCTTGCATATTTTTTAAGGCTTTTGACACACACAAACTTTCCTCCAGAAAGAGCTTATTTATTTTATTTGTGAGTTAAATCATTTTATGCTGCCAACAAGAGTGTATGATTGCTTACTTTTTCCCATTCTCACCAGCAATGGATATTCTGATTATTTAAAATTTTGCCCATTTTATGAACAAAAATGATAATTTATTATTATAATATTACAGAGTGAACACTTTTTCATGTTTATTAGCCATTTGTATTTGTTTTTTGGCATGAATTCCCTCATGTCCTTTGCCCATTTTTCAACTGGAATATTAATTGTTTCTTAGTGATTTGTCAAATTTCTTTGGATATTAATTATATTAATCCTCTGTCATATATGTACAAAAAATGTTCTAGTTAGTCATTTGTCTTTTATTGGAGATGCATTTCAAACATCTAATATATTTGAAAGATAAAATAGTATCTATGAAATTGAATATTGTTATATGCTTGTCTATCCTCTGAAAAGTCGGCTTATTATCCCTAGAGGCATATTTACTGATGTTTGTCAAGTTCAGGGGAAGAAATTAAACACAAGAAGTGGAGATGAGCAAAAAAAAGCACACACATATTGAAACCAAGCACAGCCCTCCAGTTGAAACAAAAAGGGAGTGACTAAGGGCAAAGGACTTAAGAATAAAAATTATTATAACAATATCCAACATTTACTCACTTTGCTTAGCACTTTATATGCATTTGCTCATATAATTCTCACAGTAACCTTTTAGAGAGGTACTATTAATATTTCCAATTTATAATTGCAGAATCGAGGCTTAGCAGAGTCAGATGACTAGTAGATGCTGTACTTTGAGGCCTGGCCTCGTGCCTCAGCCTGAGTTCTCCAACACCAAACATTACTGCCTCCCTGGACATCTTGCCTAACCTCGCCAAGCCTCCACTTCCATACGTGGTCTCCTGAAGATTAAATGACATCTTGTATATCTGATGCCTAGCACATGATACGCCCTCAATAAAAAGTCTGTCATGAGAGACAAGGGTTGGCGAGCATGTGGAGAAATTGGAACCCTCGTGCACTGTCGGTGGGAAGGCGAAATGGTGCAGCCGCTACAGGAAACAGTGTAGAGGATCCTCAAAAAGTTCAAAATAGAACTAGCATGTGATCCAGCTTCCCACTTTAGGGTATTTATCTACAAGAATTGAAATCAGGATCTTGAAGAGATATTAGCATGCCCATGTTCACTGCAGCACTATTCACAATAGCCAAGAGGTGGAAACAACCTATATGTGCATCGATGGATGAAGGATAAAGATAATGTGGTATATGCATACAATGGAATATTACTCAGCTTAAAAAAGAAGAGAATCCTGTCATATGCTACAACACAGGTGAACCTTAAAGATATTATGCTCAAGGAAATAAGCCAGTCACAGAAAGACAAATACAGCATGGTTCCACTTATATGAGGATTCTAAAGTAATCAAATAGCGGAATGGTGATTGTCAGGAGCTGGGGGGAAGGGGAAATGGGGAGTTACTGATCAACAGGCAGAAAGTTTCAGTTAAGCAAGATGAACAAGTTCTGGAGATCTACTATACAACATTGTACCTACAGTCGGCAATACTATATTGTACACTTAAAAATTTCTAACAGCGTAGATCTCATGTTAAGTGTTCTTACCACAATTTTTTTTAAAGTCACATAGAATGTTATAGTACAGAAGCATCATTTCACACCTTGTTGTAGTTGCTATTATAATAATCTTCAATAATTTAAAGTGGATGGGCCGGCCCCGTGGCTTAGCGGTTAAGTGCGTGCGCTCTGCTGCCGGCGGCCCGGGTTCGGATCCCGGGTGCGCACCGAGGCACCACTTCTCCAGCCATGCTGAGGCTGCGTCCCACATACAGCAACTAGAAGGATGTGCAGCTATGACAGACAACTATGTACTGGGGCTTTGGGGGAAAAATAAATAAATAAAATCTTAAAAAAATAAAATAAATAAATAAAGTGGAAAGCGCTCCAGTCTAGGAGGCAAAGAGGCGGCAAGAGAAGAGAGCTAATATTTACTGTACCAAGCATTTCAGATATGTACACACATTATTGCATTTAATCATCATAACCTGTGGGGCAGATAATTATTACATTCACTTTGCACATGAGAAAGCTGAGTTTGTTATTAAGTGTTCTTACCACGATGAAATAAAATCAAAATAGATAAACAAGGAGTAACATTTAGCGTTAAAAAAAAAAAAAAAGCATCTGTCATCATCCTCATCATCACTACATGACGTCTATCACACCAGGAGAGCTGCATCAGCATTTATATACCTTTCCACGCCAAGAGACATCTTTTCCTAATCATGAAATTTTACTACTACAGATATGCTATTTATGCACTGTGTCACTTTGGAGGGCCACAAACCAATGTACTACCTATTGAAATATCTAAGATATTTTTGTGCCCATCCCCCCCAAGAATCAATTATCACCCGTTTGGGAGTGATATTGCCCCAACACCCTCCTGAGCCTCCCTCCTTAAGAATGCTTGGTCTATGTTAACCACAAAAGCCTCTGATGGGCACATCTTGCGTAACCTTCCATACTCACATCCCAACGTGGTTCCTCTGAACAACGTTGCCACTCAAACCACAGCAGGTGCAGGACAGTTCACTTAAAACCCAGCCCCTGTTCTGACATTTAGAAGCTTCATAAAAACAGATACACAAATTACAGCAAAAAATATTCATCACCTATTTTTTTCTACCAATTTTAAAGAGGAAAAAACTACTACTGATAATTTTTGAAAATATGAGCCTGGACAAATTATCTTGTCTGGGCTAAATCAATACAACCTTCCATGTGTTTTGCCCAGCATTACATGATATATAATTGATCTAATGATGAAAACTGACAGAGAAGCGATGCTACACAGTAGCTCGGAGTTATTAAATCCTTGGCTAACAAGTTTTCTGCATTGCATTGCACTGCAAGATGATGGATTCTCTCAGTCTTCTACATTTCAATTTAAATAATCTAATGTTCTGCTCAAGGTCAGAAAGATCCTGTGTTCATTAATTGTGGTGAGATGGGGTTTTTGCTGAGTATTAAGAAATAAAAATGATCATTTAACAACTAGGACGGAGGATAATCCATTGCTGAAAATAGTATCTTCAACCAGCTTGGAAGGTTTGCTATGGAAGAAAATGTACTCAGGCAAATGCCAGTGACTTGCCACTTTGCCAGAATATTCTTCCTGGTGTGTATTTTGGACCGAATTCTTCTTATATACCAAACACAGCCCCACCCCACCCTCAAATTATTTCTAGTAAGTTGTGCTTCAGTAGCATGCCCTCAGCCTACAATGAGGCAATATTAACAGAAATAACCATAGGACATGCATATTCATTGTAAGAACATTGTTGAGGATATCGTTCACTACATAATACAATATTCTCTACAGGTCAGTAGAACTTTTTCTTTGTTTCGGCCCCAGGAATAGTTGTACTTCTCCGGTGCAGCTGGTTTATTTTTAGATATAAACCAAGAACAGCAGACCCTTGGCATTTGCAGTTTTGATCTTCGCATTTTCAACGGTTCAAAACAGACAAGTCAGACGGGCCTCAAGTTTACCTCACAACCACTGTAAAGCTGGGGTGAGGCGTGAAACTCGGGCTAGTAAGCGGGTCTCACACCCGAGTGTGCACCTGTTAGTACAGCTTTGTTGTTGGTTGAGGTGTGCGGAGCGACCCTCATTGTTCTTCGCCACACGGTCGTGTCTGATCATGCTTTCCTCCTCATGCTGGCTGCGGGAAAACCCGGAGCCAGTATTATGCCCCCTTCTAAACTGAATTCGAATTCGCTGCATCGATGCTGCGTTCTAACCCCGTGCTGCATCTTAATTAATTCACCATCTCAAGGCAAATACGTTTAGAGTTTCCAGGTGCACTTCTGAAGGGCTCAGCCAGCTGCGCAGCGCCCTTTCACCCTGAACAAGGTCAGGGAGCTTAGCACCGTGGGAACCTGAGCTGAGCTCGCGGCGGGACAGACTGAAGCAGAGCAGAGCCGCTCTCCCTGGCTCACGGCCACTCCACGACCGGAAATGCTCGCTTCCGTGAAAGAGTTCGGTCCTGGCTGAGGGGAGGGATGAGGAAAAAGAAAAAGAAAGTCGAAACACCATCTTGCCCCCATGCTGAGAGAAAAAGGGTCATCTTTCCCAGCACAGGAGGAGGCAAGTGTCAATTCTGGAAGTGGAGTCTTGCGAATTACCTCTGGGTATTTCCAGCAGAGGGCGCTCTGGTATAGGTGGAAAGAAGAGCAAAGTGGTCCACTTCGTAGAGGAAAATCCCGAGAAGGCACAAGCTGG